TCCTATGTAGGTGCATTGTTGTGTGTATTGTCCTCTATGTATGAGACAAGGTTGCTTCGGTGTCGTATGTAGGTGGATTGTTGTGTGTATTGACCTCTATGAATAAGACAAGGTTGTTTTGGTGTGTACTGTTTTCTATGTAGGTGCATTGTTGTGTGTATTGTCCTCTATGTCTCTATGTATATGACAAGGTTGTTTTGGTGTGTACTGTTTCCTATGCAGGTGAATTGTTGTGTGTATTGTCCTCTATGTATAAGACAAGGTTGCTTTGGTGTCTACTGTTTCGTATGTAAGTGTATTGTTGTGTATTCTACGTGTGTGGGTGTTCTGACACAGGCGACGACACTGGCCAGGGCTGACTTGCTTACGGTTGTTTTTAGGGACAGTACTTGTCGGGTGGATATGCAGTGTTCAACTAAGTGCCGGGCATGTGAATGGGTGTCTGTGCATGTTGTACACTCCAAAGATACTGGAGGGGCTTGTGTTGTCTATTGGAGAGTGAGGACTATATCACACTAGTGAGGTGTATGTTCTATGTTTTACTACGTGGTATCATTGTATGGACAATGTGCATTATTCGCGTGTAGGTGTGTGACCGTGTATATATTATATAACGTGAGTGCATTCGTACTTGTGTATGTAGCATGCCCCAACGGCACTGTAGAGGCGTGTGTTGGCTGAGGGAGCCTTCTGGCCGCGTGGTCAGCATGGTAGAAATAATATAGCTACCAGAATATGCAACATGGACAGAACATCTGTCGGGTCGAACATTGGTGTCAAAAAAATAAAAATTGATTCAAAAGAAGTTGCGGACTGTACGTACATGTATGTGCATTGTATCCTGATAGCCTACGCGTACAATGGCAGTTAATGGCGAAGGTTTTATGGTCTACGCTTACAATGGCAGTTAATGGCGAAGGGTTTATAGTCTACACTTGCAATGGCAGTTAATAGCGAAGGGTTTATAGTCTACGCTTACAATGGCAGTTAATGGCGAAGGGTTTATAGTCTACGCTTACAATGGCAGTTAATGGCGAAGGGTTTATAGTCTACGCTTATAATGGCAGTTAATGGCGAAGGGTTTATAGTCTACGCTTACAATGGCAGTTAAGTGGCGGTAAGGGTTTATAGTC